ACGCATCGAATTTTGTGATCTTATGATGGAGATGATTGTCGACGATCCTCTATTACTTAATAATATTGTTTTCTCTGATGAGGCAACATTTGAACTGACTGGAAATGTAAATAGACACAATTGTAGATATTGGAGTGACGTTAATCCTCACTGGAAAAAAGACAATCATACCCAATATCCACAAAAAGTTAACGTATGGGCTGGTGTTCTTAATGGTAGACCAGTTGGCCCTTTCTTCATTGAAGGCAATTTGACAGCACAAGTATACACAGTCATGCTTCGCGAACAAATTGTTCCAGCTATTCGAGACATAGCTGGTGGGAATATGGATGAAATTTATTTCCAACAGGATGGAGCTCCACCTCATTATGGTGTCATTGTCCGTCAATATTTGAATGAGGTCTTTCAGGACAGGTGGATAGAGCGAAGGGGTTATATTGAGTGGCCACCTCTGTCTCCGGACTTGACCCCACTTGACTTTTTTTGTGGGGTTACTTGAAAAGTAAAGTTTATGTCACCAAGCCTCAAGATTTAGATGATTTAAGAGGGAAAATAACTCGAATAGAACTAATACCGCCGGAAATGTTCCGGAATGCGGTTTCAGCTGTTTATAACAGATTGGCACATTGCCAGGCTGTTGAAGGGCAACAATTTGAACATTTGTTGTGAATTATTTGGTACAATTGAATATTTTGCCCAAGCTGACCAATTGGAATGAAATTCGCTTTAACTGGTCGGAATCACACACCACTCTTGCCTTAACTGGCCGGAATCACACACCACTCTTGCCTTAACTGGTCGGAATCACACACCACTTAACAAATTGTTAACATCAAATCTTTATAACTCAAAAAGTTATTACTTAATGAAAAAATGTTTTTATAGTATTTTGGAAAGCTCTCGAGATAAGCTATTGCTATAATATGCAATAAAATGTTGGGAGTTCTATTAAAAAAAATAAGATTGACCTTGAAGTGACCTTGAAGGACATGGTCAAGGTCAAAATCAAGGTCATCATCTTACTCTCCGCTTGAAACCATACAACTTTGTTATTGGACATTTTCTCCAAAATGCATTCTAACTGAAGATATTAGGGGGCTCCAATATTTTTCGATGACCCTGTATAAAATAACCTGTATAAATAGGTAGCAGACTGACGTTAAATGACGTCTTAATGACGTCTCTAACGTCATTAAGACGTCATTAGTACGTCATTTGACGTCAGTCTGCTAGCAGTGTAACTTACTTATCCAGTCCATATCATCTTAAAATAAAACAAACGAGAATATCTACGCCTCTTAAGGCCTATCCAGACAAACTTGTATAAGCGCGTAACGCATATGCATAAGGAAATTGACTATGATCCGTCTAATAAAAAAATGTTTTTTGTATCAAACATACGATTGGTCAATTTCTTTATGCATATGCGTTACGCGCTTATGCAAATTTGTGTGGATAGACCCTTAGGGCCTGAACACAGACTTTTGCATAATGCATAATGCATAACGTATAAGGGAATCAACCAATCAGAATTTTTTATTTCTATTATGGGGATTAGTTGAGTTCTTTATGCGTTATGCATTATGTATTATGTAAAAATATGTATTTATACTAAATTAAAAATATATGTATGTATGTATTATGTAAAAATATGTATTTATACTAAATTAAAAATATATGTATGTATGTATTATGTAAAAATATGTATTTATACTAAATTAAAAATATATATATGTATGTATTATGTAAAAATATGTATTTATACTAAATTAAAAATATATGTATGTATGTATTATGTAAAAATATGTACTCAGGCCGTTACATTTATCAATCATATTTTATTTGTACATGAAATGACAAAAAAGAAGAAAACCTATTATATAAAGATTTTCCTACAAAAAAATCCCCAAGTTTAAAATGATCCCCAAACTTTTCCCCACAAATTTTCGTTCCCCAAAATTTTCCCCATTTACATAAGTTTTCCCCATTTTGGGGAAAGAAACCCCAATCTGGCAACACTGTCGGCCCCCCACCCGCACCCCCCTCGAGGGTTAACCGGTGAAACTCGCTTCATATGGAAAGTCACATGTGAGTTTGCGACTTATTACGACTTTCTACATGAAGCGAGTTGCACCCGTTGACCCTCGAGGGGGGAGGGGTGCGGGTGGGGGCCGAAGGTCCCCTCTTGTGTGTGTGTGTGTGTATGTGCGTGTGTGCGTGTGTGCGTGTGTGCGTGTGTGTGTGTGTGCGTGTGTACACATGCTCGGTGCAAACTCTTATCACTAACTTCATTTGTTAATAACTTTTTAACGAACAGTGAGCACGGACTAAAACTTTTTGTATATTACTCGGGAAGTTTATGTTAGTTACGAGGCATATTTATGTCGTGATAAGAAATTGCTATTATTGGCGGGAATAATGCACGAATACACGTACTTCTCTAGGCGACGAATGTATTACTGAGCAACGATATCACAAATCGATTTAGATATGTCAACATCAAGGTCACGGAACACTCGGAATTAGTTACGAGACATGTTTATGTCGCCAAAGTTCGTCGATATAACAGCTTTCCTAACCTGAATTATGGTCTGCTTTAACGCTTCATATCTCGCTTCGCGGAACTGAGCGACGATTTTGCCAAAGGAAAAAGTTGTTTCTCGTACAAAAACGCGTCGAATGAGCCTAGTCTCATTAAAATCGGAGCTGACTGTGTACTTCTGTATATTTACCGATTATTCTTATAATAATCGATTGTGGTTGGTCTATTTCTTACTGCTTACACTTAGAACCTTATTATTGCAGCCATTGTAGATGGGCCTTAAAGCTAAGACTCCATGCATGCGGTGAGCTGCGGCAAATGCTGCGGTGACCAATCAGGAGGGAGGCGCAAGTCCGGTTGCGGCAAGCTCCGGCATGCGTCTGTCTCCTGATTGGTCACCGCAGCCGTTTGCCGGAGCTCACCGCATGCATGGAGTCTTAGCTTAAGGAACAATGTTACAATACGTCGCTCTTTGATCCGAAAGACCAATAAGATCACGTTTGGAAAAAATATATCGATGTGGATTTCTGGATGAAGGTAATTTGGAGTGACAAAAGCAAGTTTGACCTTTTCGGTCATAAATAACAACCGCGTATTTAGTTAGAACCTAGTGAAAAACTTTTGGATAAAAATGTCCAAACGACAAAAAAATATTTGAGTTCCGTATTTTATTTTGTCCAGTACTGTAGATTATTATGGATCTGTCGACAGAACCTGATTGAATCTGTTATCATCTATTGAGTCTATTGACCGACTGCTAACAGATTATTCACTATTGGTATTGAAGTCAATAGACATTACTTTGAATTATTTTTTAAATTAAATCTTTGTATTAAAAAGTATAAATCTTTTCCGTTTTTCTCAACCATATACACGGTGTGGCAAAAATCTGGAAACACTCAAATATCTCTTAAAAAATGAATTTTATAAAAAAACGTTTCAGACAAAAGTTATAAGGTTTAAAAAGATGCATTCAATGGTAATATCCGATTGACCTTGGATGGCGTTGCCAAGGTCAAGGTCAATCTGATATTTGTAAATGGAATCCCCCACTTTTCATTACATATTCTTGTAGCTTACCTCGAGAATTTTTCAAAACATATAACTATAACAAAGTTTTCTTTCGTTAAGTACTTCCCGAGTTATGAAGCACGAAGGTTGCAGTACTGCCGACATTAGCATTACCCAAGATGTACCGCGTGGAGGTTGCACGGTCGGATTTACATCTCGTGTGTGCGTGTGTATGTGCGTGCGTGTATAAAAAAGTGAGTGAATGAGTGATTGAATGAGTATGAATGAGAAAGTCAAGCGGATATAAAGTCAAGCGTTGAATGTGTCTTTTTGAACCTTACAACTTTTGTCTGAAACATTTTTTTCTAAAATTCATTTTTTAAGAGATATTTGAGTGTTTCCAGACTTTTGCCACATCCTCTATATTTTAAACATATACAGGGTGTTTGAAAGCTTATTATGCAGACGAAAGTTGGAGATAGATTGGGTGTAGCCGAGAAGAAAAGTCATGTACCATAATGTCAAATTGGCAATAGTTACCGAATTATTAATTAAAACATGTGAGCCAACGAGCGCGTAGAGAGCGGAGGGCGACCGCAGTAAGCACGTAGACATTTAATACAGGCGGAGTTAGCGAGTGGCAGTAAGCGAATGCGAACGACGAGGAGCGAGCGAGCTATAAGGAAAAAGCTATAAAGAAAAAGCTCGCTCGCTCCTCGTCGTTCGCGCTCGCTCGCTCCTCGTCGCGCGCGGTCGCCTCTTGTCGCTTACGTTGCCCCTCGCCGCGCGCGTTTGCCTACCGCCACTCGCTGACTCCGCCTGTATCAAATGTCTACGTGCTTATTGCGGCCGCCCTCCGCTCTCTACGCGCTCGTTGGCTCACATGTTTTAATTAATAACTCGGTAACTATTGCCAATTTGACATTATGGTACATGACTTTTCTTCTCGGCTACACCCAATTTATCTCCAACTTTCGTCTGCATGATAAGCTTTCAAACACCCTGTATATGTCAAAAATCACCTAAATTATATTGTTATAAGTTGCTGACATTCATTCAATTCCAATTATAATATCATCAAAACAGAAATGATTCTATTTTAAAAAATGACCTTGACCTTGAAATTTCCGAAAAAATTATCTTGAGAAAAAATGTTCCTATCATCATAATTGCCTTCTCGAACAGTGCAATTTTCTTTTTAGACGTTTTTTGTATTAACACAACAGAAATATTCCAGATAGTCGAGATATGTAAAACAATTTGTATATATAATTTTATATAACAAGAATGTGTGTGTGTGTGCGCGTTTGTGCGCGTGTGTGCGCGCATGTGTGCGTGTGTGTGGGTGGGTGCGTGTGTGTGGGTGTGTGTGTGTGTGTGTGTATGTCAGGAATTAAGTTAAAAATAAATAAAATTGATATATATACTGAAATAATTAACTTTGTAGATGTACATTGATGCTTCGATATGCATGGATGTTGAGTGATCCTGCAATGATAAATGTTAATGTATTTGGCATTATAACAAATACAGTATATATGACAGTATACTACTATTATGCTGCAAATACAGTATGCTTATAGATATAGACTCTATTAAAATATATTTTATTTACAGTTGATTGAAATTGGATTCTTTATTTATTGTATATTATATTATTCCTTTTAGAGAGATGTACTCAACTTAATAGGCAAAGTAACAGTTCTTATCACAGTCTTCCTTGTATATGCACAGATAGAACATCCATCAAATGTTGAATTTAGATTTGGCATATTGGTTACTATACTTCTTCTTCTTTTAATTGCAGCCCCTCTTGTACACCTCGTAAGATGATTAAAACTTTCATATATAACTATCTGAATCATTCTCAAAAAGTAATTATGTAATTATGCTTAAAAAATTTGCTCATTTTTCAGAGGGAGATTATAAAGACAAAAAATACAGAAATACTTCCATTTCCACTTATCCTCATGGGTACTTTAGTTTCCTTCAGCTGGTTATTGTATGGTTTTATCATTGACAATGCTTTTGTTGTTGTGAGTATTCTTGCAATTTAGTTGTATGAAATATTTAGAAATACAAGATAACCTGCCAATATCAGTAAGCTCTATAGTATACTGGGTTAAACTCTTGAGATATCAGATCATAGCAAAATATTAAATTTTCTAGTTTCAACTACAATTCTTTTGCATTTGATTTTTCTCTTTTTCATAATTCAATATATGAATATATATCTATTTTATTTTAAATGCTAAAGATATTATTGAGAGAGATGACTATGCAACCTATCTCTCCATTTTTTGGAAAAAGACTTATTTTAGTATATTATAAAGTTCACTGACAAACATACATTACATATTACTTTACATTATATGTTTTAATAGGTCCAGAATGCAGTTGGCTTTACGCTTAATATAATTCAACTATCTCTTTTCGTAATATTTCCATCAAAAATGTCACACGATAAGCTATTAAATGAACAAAGAAAAAAAGATTAAAATGGTTTTTTTAAAATAGATATAAAGGAGACTGGGGCAAACTTGATGTTAGGCTTTTTGCTCATTTAAATCTATCATAGAAATTTACTTTTCGTACGTATAAATGCATCTTTATGTACGAGTATTGTCAATGGAATTTGGTGACATTCTGAGTTACGATGTAATTTATAGTGTAATTTGTAGCATATTCAAATGGACCTGGACTAATCAACCTGGGATTAAGGGTGTGTTTGGAAACTCAGTAAAAAAATTGGTAGCAGTGAAAATTACTGATGCTGCATTTCATTTCTCGCATCAGTAAAGATTGATTGTTCCAATTTTTTGATAAGTTAATTGATAGTTAAATTATTTAATTTATCTTTGTTTTTTTCAGTTTAGACAAAGACAGACAAATGATTTAATTATCAGTTAACTTACCAAGGAGTTGGAACAACGTGCCCTAAAATCAGTAAACAGCTAATGATTCTGAGCTGATGTAGTAATTATTGCAAATAATTAATTGATCTTAAAGAATTAAATGATTTCAAAGAATTAGTGCATCTTAAAAAGTTAATTGATTTAAAACCACACACACACACAATGCTGAAGTGATAAATGTAGTCATATATTATAAAAATACAAAAGGAAATTATGTAAATAATTATATAATTTTATTATAATAATCCATATTTTAATAATAGTAATCATTAATATTACATTTATGATATTATTTTATTATATCTTTAATTGGACCAAAAATTGATAATGTTCCATTCAGAAAAAGAAAACAATTAATTCGTATATATATGTGCGTGTGCATATTGGTGCACACGTGTATATGTGTATGTATGCACGCATATGTATATTCTAAACCAGAGCTCGGCAAAGTTTACAACTTTCGGCCGATTTTCGGAAGCTACGCCTTCTATCTCCCTTTACCGCGCAGCGGATTCAGCAACTGACGGTCGCGAGCGACCGACAACCGAAAGTTGTAAACTTTGCCGAGCTCTGTTCTAAACATATTACTTAGTTTGAACAGAGTTTACTGATATTGGCGTTATATTAAGTTATGTGTATCTTTAGAATTAACTAACGTTTTTGCTTTTTGTAATAATGTAGTAGTAAATATCATGTATGTAAAAAAGATTAATTGTAATATAAATATATAAATGTAATATAAATATACATAAGACAATCGTAATAATCCAGCAAATATTGACTAACAATAACAGAACATTAATGTTATAATTTGTCACTCAACAATATAAATGCGATATAATATGTATGTTTCGTAACAGTTACATTGTTGAGTTGGAAATTATAACATTTCTGTTATGTTATTTTCAGTTAATGTTTACTGGGAATCTTCATTTTCTTGTAATATCATAAATATAATATTAATGATTGCTATTATTAAAATATGGATTATTATAATAATAAAGTATTATTATAATTTATATATTATATAAAATATTTATATATTATATAAAGTATATTACATAACATTTATATAAAGTATTATTATAATTTAAATAATAAAGTATTATAAATTATTATTATAATAAAGTTATATTATTATGAACACAATTATATATTTCCTTTTATATTTTTATAATATATTTTATAATATATAGTATAATAATACATACATCTTGTATTTTATTATACTATTATACTATATATCATAAAAGTACAAAAGTATAATAGTCAAGATAGACAAATTTCAACAATTTCGGCATATTGTCTGCATAAAGACTGAATTCAAGAATTAAAATAATAGCATAAGTATATGAAGGTATGTCTTTATACAAGAAGCATCATAAAGCAACATATAAAGAAGTAATCTGTTGCCATGATAATTGTAGCACATATTATGTATTGTGTCGGCAAAAGGACGCACTTAGCTAGCAATAAAACAAATTGATATTTTGCTGCAAAGCATGGAATAATAAATACATATTTCTTACAGCAAGCATATTACAACCATGTTATGCCGCTTCAGTGGTATTATAAAACATAAATTGAATACGTGCATGCTATTGCCAATATGTCTACCTATTTGGGAGTATAATAGTATATATATTTGTTGCTTTATCTATTAATTTTAAATCAATTAATTCTTAGGATTCATTAATGTTTTGAAATCAATTAATTTTTTAAAATCAATTAATCAGAATCATTATTATATTAGCTTAGGATCATTAACAAGGAAAGGGTCGGAACTGTTCCTTACTAATTTTGATGGGCTTTGAATATGTTTTAGAGCAACAAAAACTATCAGACACATATTTTTTTTATCGGCGTATCTCAAAGTTTAGACGGTGAAACAACTAAAAAAGAACTAACATTTTCATTTTTTGCGGATATCTTCTAAAGTACGAGATATATGAAAAAAAATTTCGTACAAAAGTTTTACAATATTTTATACTATTTGCAACGATATATTCAGATTTTTCAAAAGTGTCAAAATTTTCAACCTCTCCCCTATCCCTTTAATTTTGCCTTAAAAAATTTCATGAGGAAAAAAGTTAAAGAGCATTTGATGTCAAATCCATCCATATATAATAATACAATATGGTGATGATTAATTTTTAGAAAAACGAGATGTGCTTAATATAGGCGCTTCGCTGTAAATAGGTGTTGTGTTATTTCTTTTTAGTTGCGCCATACCCAATAACTGTCTTTTATGCATATTTCCTCATACTATAAAATGCAAGATAATTAATTTTAATGGCACAATATGCAACTTATTACACGAAATAAAGATGTTAGGTAGATGAATGTGCATATACAGGATGGACCATTTTAGTTGATAATGCGAAATGTCTCAAAAACCGAACGTTGGAGAAAGAAATGTTTTAAATAAAAGTTGTATGGTTTAAAGAAGGACATACAATGGTGTTCTAAGTTTGATCTTAAAACGTGTGTTTAAGGTCAATTGAAGGTTAACAATTTTTTAAAGTAGAAAGCCCAATTTTTTTATTATACCTCGTCCTCCCCTTATGTCTGCGCGCTCCCACTCCTCAGATTTCTGTCATTAATAACTCAGTAATTATTGTGGATCTTGCGGTATGGGACTTTTATATTTGTTTTAACCCAATTTACAACCCAATTTACACTTTGGGTTGACAGCTTATAACCAGCTACCCTGTAAATGCGCGTTTTCGTCCGACGAGGGGAAGAACAATGCGCCGCTATTCATTGTTTTATTTCGTCGTTACTACGTCTCGCCGCACGTCGCCAACAGTTGCTAAGTCGAGTGGGCCGCATTGTGGCCTGAGCAGCTGCAACGCTTCTCCAATCATCTACGTCGGCGCGCTCCCACTCTTCAGATTTTTGTCATTAATAACTCGATAATTATTACGAATCTCGCAAAATGGTATGGGACTTTTATGTTTACCTTAACCTAATCTACTTTCACACTTCAGATTGTAAACTTATAACCACCCGCCCTGTATATGGATGAATTCGGCATCAAATGCATTTTGTCCTCATGAAATTTAATTGTGCAAAATTAAAAAGTTGGGGGGAAAGGTTGAAACTTTTGATACTTTTGAAAAATCTGAATATATCGTTGCAAATAGTATAAAATACTGTAAAACTTTTGTACGAATTTTTTTTTCATATATCTCGTATTTTAGAAGATATCCGCAAAAAATGAAAATGTTAGTTTTTTTTTAAGAGTTGTTTCACCGTCTAAACCTTGAGATACGCCGGTAGAAAAAAATATGTGTCTGATAGTTTTTGTTGCTCTAAAACATATTCAAAGCCCATCAAAATCGATGAGGGACAGTTCCGATCCTTTCCTTGTAAGACTGGTTGTATACTGAACGCTTGCGTGAAGCGTGGTCTACAATGGCCGTAAGCAGTTAGAAGTAAGCATGAACAGTAAGAAATGGACCAACTACAGTTGATTATTTTTGTCATAATCGACTGTGATTGGTTTATTTCTTACCGCTTACGCTTACTTCTTACTGCTTACTGTCATTGTAGACCATGTTTCACAGAAGTCGGCTAAGGAATACTGCGGAAAAGGAAACTAGCCATTCAACATCTTGCTTGGACTGCGTTCCGATATTCACTGCCAGTACTGAAAATCTATAATATATGTGACATAAAGTATATATTTTCAATACTGGCAGTGAATATCGGAACGCAGCCTTGGTCGGAAATAGTATTTACATAACGTGCGATTTGTGAAACATTGATTGGGTACTGCGATATTCTTTAATTAACTTCTGCCGCGTGGCAAACGTTGCCTACAACATTAGCTATTTACTGGCTTTACTGATGCGAGAAACGAAATGCAGTACCAGTAATTTTCACTGCTGTTAAATTTATCTTCTTTACTGGCAGTAGCCATAACTATTTTCGAACAGAGAATTTAAGATTTTGGGTCGAATATGCACAAGTAAGCTTTGTAACGTCATTAATCGATCCCGGATCGATTAACCCCTTGTCCTGCAATTGGTCTGTTCTTTGTAACTGCACTGTTGAACTGGTGCAATAAGTTAAAGTGAGACAAATATAGGTTTTCTCATTCTAGCTTATTGCACTAGTTCAGCAGTGTAGCTACAAAGAACAGACCAAAGATCGTGTGAGACACGTGATATGCTTGCGGGCTAAACATAAAGCCAGCGGCACACGATGCTTGTTTTTGTGCTGCTTTTCTTGCTAGATGAAAATACTGCGTTCTGATTGATACATTTCCGAAGATGGATAGAAATGCAATCAGAACGCAGTATTTTCATCCAGCAAGCAATCCAGCACGAAAACAAGCACCGTGTGCCGCTGACTTTAGAAATACAAGTCAGGCTCGTGGTATACTCGCGGACATAATAGTTGGTGAGTTTTTTTTAATAAACTTCGGAACGCATTCCGACTCGAGAAGGATGAGAACTGCTACTTTACCTACGGAGCACGCCTGCGCAGTGACTTACAACGATAGGAGAAAAATGACATATACGAAGTGTTAAATAAGTACGCATTGACGTTCGCGTGGAAGATGTTCCACAGGACTCGCCGTGGCTGTGTAAATGCAGGTAAAGGTGCCTCATAGCCTCACTCCTCCTTCAACTCATCCTTCGCTGTTTTTGCAAGAAGCTTATTCTTGTCCACGATACCAGCACAAAGTTCCAAGGATAGTCCTAGAGCAAAGGATGAGTTGAAGGAGGAGTGAGGCTATGAGGCACCTTTACCTTTACCTACCCTCATTTACGCAAATTCTTACCTATAGATATTGGTCTCAAATAATTCTCACATTTTGCTTGTGATGCCTATCATTAATTCTTTTTTGCTATAGACAAATATTACATACATCACATATATTAAAAGCAATTTCCAACGTAATTTATGTTTCTTGTTATGAACTGAAATGTATCTTTTTTCCAGTTCAATATTTGCCCGAAATCCACGGTACGCAGCCACAGCGAGTCCTACGAAACATCTTCCACGCGAACGTCAATGCGTACTTATTTGACACTTCGTACATGTCATTTTTCGCCTATCGTTGTGAGTCACTGCGCAGGCGTGCTCCGCAGGCAGAGCAGCAGCTCTCATCCTTCTCGAGTCAGGAATGCGTTCCAAAGGTTACTAAAAAAAGCTCACCAACTATTATGTCCGCGAGTGTACGTACATTAGACC